TAAACTAATATCCCGAATAGTCTACAATATTCACAATTATTGTTAGTTCTTCAAAATGTAATAACGAGAAGAAAACGGTTTAGTTAGCACAGAGTGTTCCTCTTAGTCTGCTGACAGGACTGGCAAGTTAGAGTTAACACACCTTGGTGAGGTCTGCTTTACACAAGCTGAGTAAAGATAATCTCTTCACATTCACGTGTGATAAACGCTGGAGGAACTGTTCTTTGGCCAACATCAAAGGAAGGCGCAAGCTCTGCAGTCCTTGCCTGCAGCTCCTGGGCTCTGCCTTACCAGAGCAAGTAGACAAGTCAGCTTCCCTCTTTCTCACAGCCACTGCCACTTTCCACATGTGATGTACCAGCCACTGATCCAGCCCAAAACACCCTGCAGCATTTGCTGAACTCTGCCTTTGTCAATGCTGCACCTCTCAACGTGGCAATACCCCAGCACTGCAAAACCCTCTGGGAAATGTCTCCTGTGTACTGGGGAACTCTGCAAATTCCTGGTATTCTTCCAAGCAAAGGGTTTGGTCTTGTCTTTGTTCATTCCAGCTTCTTCATCTCTTTGGTATTACTTTTCAAATGGCTCAGGAAAATTCTGCTTTGTCCCATCAGCTCCCTGTACAACTGCACTTGGGAAAATTGAAGATTTCAATAGTGACAATGTTATACCTGTGGACAGATATTTATTTTCCTCTCTTCCATCACAGAAACAGGTAACCTGATGCCTTCTTCAGCAATAACCATGGTCATTGCAGAACCCTCCAAGCCTACCAGGAAGGGGGAGATGTGCCAGATGTGAAACCTCATACCACAATCCCAGGCATGCATGCTACAGATGAATACATTGGCCTTGTGCCTTTGGGATGGTTTTTTGGGTATCTTCCATGTTAAGTGTGATAATAACCTGCAAAGAAGTTTATCAGTCTGAAAAAAAAAATAAAAAAAACTGTTCAAATGCTTCATAGAAATAGCAGGAATAATGTAGCCTCCTGCTCTATGAGTTGTATATTTAACATGTTCCTACTTTTCCTGTTACATTTCACCATTTCTGTCCAGCTGCTTCATTGACATCTCCTGCTGAGTTAAAGATGAATTAAAAGGAGGGGAAACAATACTGCAAACTGTCTTCTTGAAAGATGATTACAGGGTTCCCTTAGAGACCCACCTTGCCAGCAAGCACCAGGCCTGAAGAAAAGCTAACTGGTAGGTCTCTGCTCTAGGTATCTGCTTGTTGAAAGTTATCGAGGAAAAAAAATCATGTCCTGGAAACAAGAAACTGATTTGGTCCCTTATGGCAGTGTTTTTCACTGGCTCATGTTAATTATTGCCCTGATAGCTTGTAGTGACAGCGAGATGAAACTATAGGAACTGTGATGGGAACATGGCAGGGCTGCATGGGCCATTGCTGTTAGGTTACCTACATTTATACTGTGATGAATTCAGAAGGTAGCTGATGGAAGGCTTAGAACAACCTAATGTCAAAGAAAGCTGCATTTTACCTTTATTTTGGAGAAATTGGAATTAAACACAAAGGAATGACCACTGTTTCTGGACACCCTTGCATTACGGATCACAGGAGTAAACCAGGGAAGGATCACCCCACACTTGTCACTCAGTAGCTGTGATTTCTCACTGTCTCCCTGGCTGGTCCCAGCCTTCAGCACTCTGTCTCAGTGGTCCATCAGCAGAACAGAGCGATGCTGTGCACATGAACACGGCCCCTGCTGTGTCAGCGTGCAGGTGAGTCCTCGAGGAAGCCTTAATTCTGTATCCAGTACAGTTTAAGCCAGGGGTCCAAATACCCTGAGACCTGTACCTGTTTGTGCAGTTAGTCTTGTTACATGAAGCAGGGGTCTTCAGTGACAAATATACAGCAGCCACAAAAAAACAGTGATTTCTTTAGAAAAATACGTTTCTGGTTGCTCTATTAAACTCTGATTCATTCTGTGACACCCAGGTTAAAGGGGTGCACAGGTACCTTATGGGCTTGACCTGCTCCTTGGTGTGTTTGCCCAAGGCACACTGAGCAATCCACCAGCCGGTGCGTGGCGTTGGCTTTGCTTCATATTCTGGCATTTGCCGTTAAAGGCTCGGTTCCTGGGGAATACCGCAGTCACCCACGAGCCGTGAATCCTCAGCTAGCGAGGATGCCGTCTCCTTGGAAATACGGATTATATCCCTCATGCCGGCAGGGACAGCATCCTTGCCTGCCCCTGCCCCGAAGTGCTGCGCCTCCCCGCGCTGTGCGTGTCGCCTCCCACCCCTGCTGTTAATGCCAAGGACCCCAAATAACCAGGACCCGTTGCAAAAGGCACCGGCAGGTCCCTCAAAACCCCTTTTTCCAGCCCAGGTCCGTAGCGCTGTCCCCAGGCAGAGCAGTGTGACACCTCCCGGGCAGCACCAGGGAGGGGGCACCCTTTTTCCTCCACCCCACGACCCCCCCTTCGTTCTGCTGCCCCTCTCCCCTGATCGATGCGCACCCTAATTCCTCCCCATCCCCTTGGGGATGCGACAGAGGCTGCAAGGGACCGGGGCTGGGGGGGGAGGGGGGACACATTTCCATTTCCCACCCACCGCTCCCGGAGGCAAGGACCTCGCACCGCTGATGCTCCCCGGGCTCCGGAGATTTGGGGTGGCGGAATAGGGATGGGGCAGGGCAGGGAGCAGCGGAGGGGGGGCACCGAGCAGCCCCTATGGGTGGGGGGCTCTCCCCTGCGCCCCCCGAGCCGCCCGCAGCCCGTACCCCCGGGGCGAAGCCTCCCTCCTGCTCCCGGTGCCGGATTCGTTTAGCGGGGATGGCTTCGAGGTGGCAAACATGGGAGGTGAATTTCCCCTAAAAAATAAAAAAAATAAAAAACAAGGGGAAAAAAAAAAGTGAAAAAATTAAAAATAGAGAGGGAAAAGCCAACACGAAGCGGGGCAGAAAAGACAGGGGAGGCTGGTTTAAAGCGCCAGGATTAAAGGTCTGTGCTAGTTTCAAGCGCTCATAAAACGGCCTGAAGGATGCTTATTTTGCTGCAGTCTGGGTTATTTCAGCCCGCAGTTGCACAACAAACCATTTAAACATTTCAGCACAAAACCGATTCCATTGTTGGGCTGCACATTAAAAAGTGTTATTCGCTTTGAAGTTTTTGTCTAATGGCTCTAAACTGAAAGAAAATGTTTTCCTATTACTTAATTCAATCATAGCGAAGAGGCTTGGTAAAAAGCCCACGGATTTTGCCCAAAGTGTGACAGAGTTCTCTTTGTGTTTGCTTATCCTCTGCTGTCACACACTTTAATTCGCCTCTCTTTATCTGGCATTCAAAACTTTCTTCAATGACATTCAATAAGGTCCAGCGGCTGGAAAAAAAAACTGGTTATTTTTTGGGATATTCTTTCCCAGTAGCTTTGGGCTTGGTGTGCATTCAGGAGCCGTTAACCCTTTGCCTCCCCGCGGCTCGGAGCGCTGGGGTTCAGCCCCTGGGCAGCGGGAATCCCTCGGGCTGGGGAGGAACCGGCCCCCCGGCGGCGCCTGGGGGAGAGCTGCCCCTTCCCGGGAGCAAGCTCCAGGGGAAAACCCTTTAAATCACGAGCTCCTTAAAAATACCCCCCCAAAAAAAATAAAAATAAAAAAATCCCAAACCATTAACGCTTGAAAGGGGGAGACAGTCGGAGAGCCTTACTAAATCACTGCAGGACTGAGTTGTTACCAGCATTCGTTTTTCACCGTTCCGGGCTTTTATTCGGGCACATCCGTACGTTTTCAGGCTCGGGCATCAAGAGCATCTCGGCAAAACTCGCATAGATTTCAGCGAGAGATGAGATTGCAAGCAAGGGCAGCCCCTGGACGAGCCAGGGACACGGGATGAGATTGTTTCCCAGTTTTTCTCTTCGTTGGAAGATGTGCGCTGGGGTTAGAGGCGGGCAGGTTCCCGCAAGGGACAAATCTCCCCGAATTTTGTTTGTCGGGCGGCGGGTGAATTTTTTTTCTTTTTTTTTCTTTTTTCCCCTTTTTCTTTTCCTATATATTAAAGGGGAAGAAGGGGAAGAAAACACACCCCGAGGAGTGCTCTCCTCCTCTCTGTTGCCATTCCTTCCTCACCTACCGGACCGGCGCGCTGCGGGGAGCCAAACGCCGAGCCCTGCGCGCTTTTGCGCCCTACCTCGGACAGTCGCTTTAGGGCCACGCCGCTACGTTTTGCGGTCCCCTGTGCTTAGAATCGGGGGAAAAACTTTTCTTTTCGTGCTGCCTCGCCTTGTAGGGCGGAAAGAAGCCCGGCGTTTCCCCTCCGCTGCCGGCGGCTCCCGGTGCCGGGGCTCGGAGGCGCTCCGGACGCATCCCGGGGAGATGCCGGGGGGCTGCGGGGAGGATCGGGAGGATGGACGGGGGGTGCTGGGTGGAGGGCTCCGTGCACCCCAAAACCCACGCTGCTTGTGGCCGTTCTCCGTGCCCGAGCACCCACGCAGGGAGCGGCGGCTGTCACCTCGAGGGGACCGGGGGTGAGGCTCCGGGTCCCGGTCCGGAGCTGGGAACAAAGCCGAGGGGTTGGGGATGGTGGAGGGCGGCGAAAAGGGGGGCGAAACGTCCCGGCGGAGAGAGGAGAGGGGGCAGACCTGGTGCCACAGGTGGGAAAGGCGCCGGGGGGCTGGCAGGGGAAGCGCGGCTGCAGCCGGCAAAAATAAACAAGGGGGAGCCGGGCCGAAAGCTGGGCTGAAAGCGAAGGAGAGCGATAAAGAGAAAGAAAAGAATATTAAATCGCGAGAGAATGAGAAAATAACCCCGCCAAAGGGAGAGGAGGGGAGAGGCCGCCTGCTACGGCGTGGGTGGGGTCGACAAGAATAGAGTACATTATGCAGTTCATTTAGTTAACAAGGGAAATAATGAGGGAGCGTGCGGCGTGAATGCCAAGAGAAGAGGCACAGAAAGCCTATTGAGCGCCCCGGCGCCGCCATCACATGGCGCGGGCGCTATTTAAGGCGGGCGGGCGCCGTTCAGCACCACTCGGGCTGGCCAGCGGCGCTGCGCGGCCGCTGCGCGGGACTTGCGCGGGCGCTGCGCGGGGGCTGCGCGGGGGCCATGCCGCGCTCCTTCCTGGTGGACTCGCTGGTGCTGCGGGAGGCGGGCGAGAAGAAGGGCGAGGGCAGCCCCCCGCCGCCCCTCTTCCCCTACGCCGTGCACCCTTCGCACCCCCTGCCCGGGCTGCCGGCCGGAGCCTGCCACGCTCGCAAAGCCGGGCTGCTCTGCGTCTGCCCGCTCTGTGTCACCGCCTCCCAGCTGCACCCGCCGCCGCCCGCCATCCCCCTCCTCAAAGCCTCCTTCCCCCCTTTCGGCTCCCAGTATTGCCACTCGCCCCTGGGCCGCCAGCAGCACTCCGTCTCCGCCGTCAGCGTCGGGCACCCCCCGGCGCTCTACCAGGGCGCCTACCCGCTGCCAGACCCCCGGCAGTTCCACTGCATCTCCGTGGGTAAGGGGGGCACGCGTGGGGAGAGGGGGGGCGGGTGGGGAAAGTGGGCACGGGGGGGGAAAGGGAGCATGGATGGGGAAAGGGGGTGTGCGTGGGAAAAGAGGGGCATGGGTGGGAAAAGGGGGCATGGGTGGAGAAAGGGGGTATGCATGGAAAAAGGGGGTGTGCGTGGGAAACGGGCACGCGTGGGAAAAGGGAGACACGCGTGGGATGAGGGGACACCCGTGGGAAAAGGGGGGCGCACCGCACGCCTGCATGCTGGGGGTGGATGCTGAAGGCACTCGGGGAGGGGGCTCCCGGCCCTGCGCCCCCCGTGGGCTCGAAGGGCGCTCCGGGGAAATGTTGGGGACCCCCCGTGGGCTCAAACCGGGTGGGTCCCGGCGGGTCCTGACCGTGCTCTCGGCTCGGCTCCGCAGACAGCACGTCCAGCCAGCTGCCCAGCAGCAAGAGGATGCGCACCGCCTTCACCAGCACGCAGCTCCTGGAGCTGGAGAGGGAGTTCGCCTCCAACATGTACCTCTCCCGGCTGCGGCGAATCGAGATCGCCACCTACCTGAACCTCTCCGAGAAGCAGGTGAAGATCTGGTTCCAGAACCGCCGGGTCAAGCACAAGAAAGAAGGCAAAAGCAGCTCCCACCGGGGAGGGGGGCCCGGCCACAGCTGCAAATGCTCGTCCCTTTCCACCACCAAGTGCTCGGAAGACGACGAGGACTTGCGCATGTCTCCGTCCTCCTCGGGGAAGGACGACAGAGGCCTCGCCGTCACCCCCTAGCCCCCCTGGGCACCCCCCCGGCTCCCCAGGGACTGTGCCGAGAGCAGGAGGGGGAGTCCTGCCCGCTCCAGCGCCGACGTGCCTGCCGGAGGATTTTGTACCGTTTTCTACGAGCCGAGTCGTTGACGAAGGACTTCCTCGCCTTTCTAAGCCCCCCCGGCTCACGAGGGCCGTAAATAAACTGCTCCCTAGGACCCCCGGCGCCCCCCGGGAGCGCTGTCCCACTTGTGTCCCCGCAGCCCCCGCAGGCTCCTCGCAGCCCCCCGGGGACAGAGCCGGGAGCTCGGCGGGCGGGGAGAGCCGGGAGACGGTCGGGTTATTATCATAATGTTATTATTTCGTTTTGTTTCTTTGTTTGTTTGTTTTTTATTATTATTTTTTTTCCTCCCAAATCGTTCTCGGTTTTGTTTTCGGCTCCGCCGCTGCCGGGCGCGCAGCAGTGGTTGTAGCGGTCCGTCCCCGTCCTCCCGGGAGATATTTATTTATTTATTTATGTGCAGAGAAACGGTGATGATGGCGATGATAATAATGACGGTGATGACAATAAAAGGCTCGCTGGTGGTTTATTTCCCTTCCCCTCGTGTAGAAACCGACCGCTCGCTGCGGGTACCCGCGGCACCGTCGCTCCCCATCCCCGACGGACACCTCTCCGCCCTAGCCCGGCACCGGGACAAGCACCGGGACCCTTCAGCAGCCTCCCCTGACAAGTCTGCGGCGGGGTCTCCTCCTTTCTCCGCGGAGAAGAGGTAGCCGGGGAGCGGGGGAGCCCCTGCCCGGTGCCCCGCAGGCTGGCGGGCGAACCCCGGGGCTCTCCCCGCTGCCTCCCCGCAAAGTCCCAGCTCTGGGTAGGGCTGTGCCGCACGCTTTTGCCTTCCCATCACGCTTCCCCATCCCATCCGCGGTCGATCTGGGATGTCCGGGCGGCAGAAGTAGCCCCGTCGGGGCCGGAGCAGCCTTTGCCGTTGTGGGAGAGGAGCGCACGCTTTTACGCACGGCTTCGTGCTCCGGCCCGGCGGAGAAACCCGTGGGGGAAGCATCCTGAAAGCCCCCCCGCTGCCCTCACACAGCCCCCGAGCCCTGCTGTCACCCCGCGGTGACAAACAGCCCCGCCAGGACCCCCGGACCTCGACGGGATGGCAGGACCGGACACCCCGGGGGTCCCCGCACGGCGCAGGAACGGGGGAGCCGCTGTGGTTGCGTGGAGGAAAAGCTCTCGGTGCAGGGAAACCCGCGGGGAGGATCCACACAGCTCTGCGCACAGCCTGAGCTCGGCGTGGGGAGGTGTGGGGTTGGGGTCCCCTGGGCACCCAGGCTGAAGGAAAAGGGGCAGATTTACCCCAAGCAGAGCTCTGTCATCGGCAAAAATGGTTCTGCCCACATGGCCTCAAGTCCCGGCCATAAAATAGGTATTTCACACCCTGCCTTTGCTGCACCCACAGCTCACAGAGCACTGGGGGCTTCCCTGTGCACCCCAGGAGGTGTGGGACATGGGGGACCCTGCAGACAAGGCACAAATAGTGCCTCCTTCATCCTCTGCTGGCTCTGCACATCACCAGGCTGGCGTGGGATGGCTGGGCAAGCTACCGTTTAGGATGCTGCATCCAGCATCATCTGGGCTCCTTTTCCCATGGTTGTTTTTGCATTAATCAGTGGGTGAGGGATGAAATAGCCCTGGGGGGTACGGAGCAGAGAGAGCCCGACCTTGCTGCAGGAGTCAGCCAGCCTCACGCCATGCCTGGCCCCGCGATGCCCCCTCTTTGCCCTCCCCGGTGGCCCAGCTCCAGCTCGGGGACCCTGCGGCTAATTGGCTCAGCAGGGCCCTGCAGCCTTTCCAGCCCTTGCCCCCCTTCCTGGCCACATGTACCAGGCTTGTTTTGCGAAGTCGTTGCAAAACAGAGAGGCAAAAGTAGCCCAATGCGGGCTCACCGAGGGGCCTGGCATCCTCTTCAACGGGGGACTGGCATCGGAGTCACCAGGAGCCCTCGGAGCCGTGTGTGTGTGTGTGTGTGTGTGTGTGCGTGCTCCTTGTGCCTCCTCTGGCATGGGGCTGAGCCAGCTGGCTGGCAGTGGGGTGGGAGGAACACCAGCGCCGGGCGCTTTAGAGCTGCTATTAAACTGCTATTGTGGCAGCTGTGTTGAAACTCAACGTCCTGCTCTGCCAGCACATTCCCACCGTCTCTTTGGTCCTTCGCAGCGCAAGCCCTGATGGAAAAAAAGGAGAAAAAAATATGACATGGTGGCACTGACCGCCTGGCTTGCTCCTCATTCACCATGAGACCTGGCCATGCGGGCACCTGTGGGACAAACACACGTGGTGCTGAGGCTGGAGCTCCCCATCTCTCAGCTAGGAGACTTTCTGGGTGCACTGCTGCAAGCTCACCAACGTTTCTGTGCTGCAGGCACGGCGTGCACAGGTTGCGAGGCAGAGTGCACTGACACATTGTCCCCGGTACGGACAGCGTGCGCATACACGTGCCCGTGTCCTTTACGGACTGAGTTTGTCAGCCAGACAATTTAGGGCTAAGCCTCAGCCCTAAAAGACACCTCATGTATGTAAAGCAGCAGAGAGAATTCCCCCGGATGGTATAATTTTGCCTGAGCAGCGGTGGAGCATCGCAATGGATGCCCCCAACACGACAGTATTAATATTCTCCGATGCACGCCGGCCTCTGCCGCAGCCCCTGTGTACCTTGCAAAGCCCACTGGGGCTCTCAGTGCACTCGACAGTCATTATGCCACATCCACATGCAGAGATAATCCCTCCTTAGTTGGGCATTTTTCTAATTTAGTGAGAAATCATTACGGCAAATGCTCGGAGTGTCATTTTCAAGGACTCCGGGGTTGGGCAAATTAAAGTCATTTTGCTGTGGGAAGAGCGTGGGCACCTCTGCTAAAGCGAATGTCATAACACACCAATTTGCAACTTTCTATCTCCAGCCATTTTGATGGTCGGTTTTTGAAAGTTACTTAAGCATTTTAGCATCTGAAAATGTCTAGCCTCTCCTGATTGCAACAGGAACCGCATTTGCAAATCCACAAAATGAGTTTGAATACCTTCCAGCAGTTACTTTTGCACTGTATTTTTATCTAGAAGTTGAATTATTTCTTCCTCAGCAAGCAGAAAGGAAATTCTCTGCATGCTTTGAGGCTTTCAGGACTGCGTTCCAGAGCACAAGTGGGTTATCCTGACAGGGGAAGGAGGATTGAGGGTGATGGTTTTGGGGTTTCCCCTTTCCACCTGTTGGCATTGCTGAGCATCGGTGTCCCACACCCCATCCCATTGCACATGCTGCCACCCTCCCTTCACCACTCCAGGCACAAAATGTGTAAGGAAGAAATGCTGAGAAAAAAAAAACAAAGGTCTGGAAAGAAGAACCTGTCCAACACTAGGTATCTAGGTATTTACACTTGTCATAACATTAATTTGCATTATTTGGCTTTTATGCTTCTGTGATTTTCATATTTATCCCTAGACCTCACTTCTTTACGTACAAGGGTTGCATCAGATCGATTTATAGTTGAAAGCATGTATTGGTATTTTAAGGGATATTGTTCTTAACTACAAAACCAATACTATGAACCCAGGGATTGTCATAATTCAGTTTACCTGCAGCAAACATCTTCACGCAGTGTTCACGCTGAGCTGGCCCCATGGACCAGGAACAGCAATCACAGTGAGCAGATTGTTTAAAACAGTTTCTTCCACTTTGTTTACCTGGATTTTATTTTACCAAGGGATTTACTGGGGTAACAAGGCATCGTTTTTCATCCTTAAGCCCCTGACACAGGCTGTGGAATTTGGTTCAGCAATGACAATATTTTCAAGTCCGTGGATGTTATTACTTTAAACTACAGGTGGGTGTTAACTGAAGACCCTAAGTAAAATGTTTCTGCACAATATTCCTAACGGTTTGGAGACACGCACAGCACCCGGAGCGATCTGTCAGTTATATTAATTTTGCAAGTGTTTTTGCTGCGAGCACAAAGTACTCATTTATCGGGATGCGATTATGCAGGATCAGGAGATCTCCTAGGATACTGACACTGATGATGACAGCAAATGGCCGTGCCTGTTGCTTAATGCGGCTGGAGCTGGATGAGGAGCCACTGATGCTGGCCCGTCGACTGCTCCACACGTAGTCTATATGCTCTGTATGCTACAGGATCCATATGCACACTAGGAGGCCCTGAATGCCCTAATTCATGCCAAAATAAGCCTAAAAGTAGCAGCAATGATCATAAAAGGAAAAAAAGCCTCCGTTCCTAAGTTCGATCCCTTTCCCATTCTGCTCCAATTTCCATTTTCTCTGTTGACTTTTTCTACTGGGCTCGTTCCCAACAAGGCACACAGGAAGAGCAGATTTCCATCCTATATATATTATATTACATATATATTACCCAGTACCACACTAAAAAAAAATCAGGATGGAAATAAAGTATGTTTTGGGGCCAGTCCCTAGCACAGACATGTGCCTATTGTCTGCCTCAGCTTTCAAATTATTAAAAATGTTTAATTACTGACAGACTGAAGACACTTTGGTTTAGGCACCTAGCAGCTAGATGGGAAGCTGCTCCCATGCTCTCCGTGGGAGAATCTGGTCTGGGTTAGCCTCCAGCTGCTGCTCTAGAAAGGTCTCAGGTCCTTCTGGACAGTCTGGTGACCCCAACACATCTGAAAAACACCAGGCTCACGTCCAGGCACATAAAATTGGGTCTGGTGCGAGGGTTTCCACCTGCAGCATGAGGGAGAGAAGGCAGATACAGACAGAGAAAATACATTAAGATGTAGCTTAATTATGAACGTGTTAAAATATCCTGTGTCAAGAACTAACTGCCTCTACTGGGCTGATCCTGGCATGGGAAGGTTGTAAAATTGTGCCATGTCTTGGATCACATTTAATTAATTAATTTATTTATTTTTTAAGAAAACCCTTTCCAGTCAATGCTGAGGCAAACAACAAGGAGTAGCACACACATCCACACAGACAGACATACAGGATGTGCTTACAGGCATTCGGGTGGTTTGCAGTGAACTAGGCAGGGCTGAGGAATTAAGCACAATTAAACCTACCCTTCTGCTGCCTTGTGACAGCCTTACGCCGTGCTCGGAGCCTGCTTTGCTCGGAGAGGGACACAGCACACAATCTGCTCCCTCGCCACAGACGAATATTCAAGCTTGATGCTGCGTTGGTGCTTGCAGGTATCTTTATCTGCTGGGAAAAAAAAAAAAAAAAAAACAACACAAAGGCTTATTAGGAATGCTACGTATGCAAGTGAGGAGTTGGGTTTGCAGTGCAGAGCTTGAATAACCATATAAATAACCATGGGCAGCCTCCGAAGAGGCTGTGTTTCTCACTAGATATGTATTTCACCCTCGGAGTTCACCCCTGGTTTCTGCTTGTTCAGCTTATCAGATAAAATGCTCATGCAATGAGTTGGGCTTAGAACAACTGGGTTTAAATGGTGAACCACGTATTTTGCGTCTTTTATAACTCCATTAATAACTCTCCTGATTTTTTTTTTGTTTGTACTGTGCTATCACAGCACCATGCACTGGCCTTGTGTGTGTTTTATCTCGGCTGTA